TTGAAACAGTAAAGTTAATTGTGCAATTTTCATTAAAAACCGGGTCAAATTGGTCATTGCGAAAAATATTGAAGGATGGTGGTGGCAAGGTTCGAACCCTGCACTAATGGAATGTGGAAGCGAGCTCTATCTTGTGGTCCTCACGATTTGAAACTCACGCTCTCAAAAGAAGCATGATGCGCCTGCCGGCCAAGGCTAAGCACCGTATTATATGCAGTATCATGCAATGTGTGATACTCTATTATACAAAGTTATTTAACTATTTTATGAAGCGGTTAAATATGTCAAGCCGCATATTTTGCATAAAGATACCATCCGATATAGCCAGACGCGATTTTTAAAAACACTCGTTTTGCATAGATATCCCTGTTATAATCATATTTCTAAGACTCGCCAGTTTTTTTTTTTTCCATTTTGATCAATGCTTAAGTAATGTGTGCACATGACAAAAGTGATTTCCAGAACAACCAACTCTTCTCTTGATTCGACCAGATAAAGAGAAAGAAGGCAAGTGTTGGTAGGATCAAGCGAGATAAATATCAGAAAAGATTTAAACCTATTATACGAATGTCAATTCAGTTGTAAATTTCTCAATTTTGTCAATTTAATCATAAATCTTTTAACAAATTACCAATGTAGTCATTCCTACTAATTTAGGCCGGAAACCAACGACGTGATAGTCTAACCAACACCGATCATCGTACATGGCATCACTGATGCCAACATTGATGATTTCTACAATTTTTTTTTGTATTTTTTGATATTTTTCTTTCTTTTCTTTTTTTTCTTTTTCTTTGTTTCCCTACTCGGGTCGCCGGGTTCACCGATGGCCAACGGAGGTGGCTAGCCACCAACGAGGGGCAAGCATCGCCGACATCTGGCGAGGGACCACGATAAAAGAAGCAATTCATTATTTATGTTAAATTGAAGAAACCCACTATCGGCCCAGCCCAATGGTCAACCAGGAACGAGGGGAAGGACATTTTCTCTCTTTTTTGGTTTTTTTGGGGAATAAAGGAAAAAGTTGTACTAATCAAATCACTTATATTACCACCCCCGTGTAATTTTTTTTTTTGGGTACACATCCGCATCTCTTATTATTAAGACGAGTAATTAGTTACTTGTTAAAAGAAAAATACTTGTCAGATGTGGGATGTGCCAAAACAGGGATAAATAGCTTGTAAATCTAATAAATTATTACCATCGTTAGGTTTTTTTTTTTTTGGTTGGCGGCCCCATTTGTATAGTTTGTTAGGTGGGTTTTTGTCGTAAAGTAATCACTTAAATATGGGTCGGATTTTGAATAGTGTTTCAATAATCGAACTAGATTGGCTAATTCAAGCGGGTATCACCCCGGTCTCTGGTCCAATTCAATGCCTTGTGCCGTTTGCCATCCAAATTGGTCAAGCCAGTTGTGACAGTTTGTTATAACCCAGATCAAGTTGGTCATTCTGAAAATTATTGAAGGACGGTGGTGGCAAGGTTTGAACCTTGCGCTAAAGGAATGTGAAAGTGAGCTCTCTCTTGCAGTCTTCATCATTCAAAACCTCCGCTCTCAAAAAAAGCTCGATACCTCTGTCAGCAGGCCTAAGCATTGTTTTACATGTAGTGCTATGCATAGTATAATAATTATTTTATTTATATTGTTTTACATATAATCTGAATAGGTTGGCTCTACTTATTGAATATGTCAAAATGTAGCCATTCGATATAGTCATTTCGGCATAATTTTTAAAACACCAATTTTGCATAGAGATACTCGTTATAATCATACTTTTAGGACCCACCAAAGGCTTTTTTTTTTCGTATTGATCGATGCTTAAGTAATGTGTGTACATGATGACTTAGTGATTTTCAAAATAACCAACACTTCTCTTCATAAAGAGAAAGAACGTAGGTCGTTGTAGGATCAAGTTTATCATGTAGAAAATGAAAATTTTCAAAAAAAACATATAAAAAAAGAACCCTAGAGATCCTAAATAATTTTTTAAAAATTTATTTAAATTTATGGCTTTGATGGTTCCTTCTGCCCTATCAGAGATGGAGTACAAATTGGACAAGACATTTTTTCCTTGTTAAAATCCAACCTTATTGATGACACGAAGTCGAAGTCGTTGTGATCTTAATGTAGCACCAAGAAGACTTTTGGTTCGGGAGTCCTTCAATTTGATTTGATTTGAACGCTTCACCAATTGCAATCCGATCTACCCGATTCGAGAAGAGTCCGAAATCAAATTCACTTTCGTTCTGCACACTCAAATATCATATCGAATTGACCTTTTCTCCATCTCTCAAATGGGGCACAAATGCATTTTCCATGAAACTTCCTAAGGAAAAATTAAAGATTGCTTTTCTTTTATTTTTGTTCCTTTTTCCTTGACTTTGTCCAAGGGTAGTCTACTATACTCTAACTTCAGTTACACGCCGCCCTAAAAGTTAAAAAAAAAAAAAAGAAAGGAAAAAAGAAAGGAAAATTGCACTTACGATCCCAAACATCTGGCTCAATCGAGATCTACCGCATTTGAAAAGGTGCAATCGAGTCTGATAATTTGGTTAATATCACGAAAAATCTCAAACTGGTACATCTATGATAAATTTAGCCCAAACTACAACAAACTGGTACATCTGTGACAAATTTACCCTCAGTTTGTTTCTATTAAATTTTATTATTAAATTGCTTTGTTAAATGATACATGGCAGTTGATGGATGTACCCATTTTATATTTTACCCTCCGTTTGTCATAGGTGTACTAGTTTGTTTTTTTTGTGGTATTAATCAAATTTAACAAAAAATAACGGAAGGTAAATTTGTCACAAATATACTAGTTTGGGATTTTTGGTGGTAAAAAAACTAGTTTAAGGTAAATTTGTCACAGGTGTACCAGTTTGGGATTTTTTGAAGTAAAAAATTAGATTGAGGTAAATTTGTCACATGTGTATCAGTTTAGGGTTTTTTGTGCTATTAACCCTTTGTAAAAGTGCAATTGGGTTTCAAAATTTTTGAAATTGACGCAATTGAATTCTTTCAGTGATTGATTAGCGATTGATTAGCGAGCTTTGCCAACACGGCTAAATGGAATACTCCATCGCTTTTTTTTTTTAAATTGCTTTTGGCATTTGTAGTATTGGCGTGGGGCTGACATGTTCGTTAGGTAACAAAGAACCAAAATCTAGAAACAATAAGAAAAATATAGAAAATTTAAAATGAATGATTTGGAAAACGTTTTTCAAACGATGATCGCTTGTATCGCTAGGAATAATTAGTCAATTTCATTATCGATAACAATTTATGTTTAAATATTTTCATGGACGATAGTAATATTTATCGTTCAATTATTTATGCAAGCAATACGAGCGATCATTTCAAAGGATTTTTTTTTATTAAATCATTCATTTTCCTTAGTTTAATTGATTTTTCCTTTTTTATTCAAATTTTAGCTTTTTAATTTTTCATTTTCAAGAAAAGATTGACGTTTTTCCGACTTGGTGCAACATCAGTGGTAACCAAATTAGGCCGAGCAGTTGCCGGAAAGAAATTTGATGTTCGAGATTTTATTGCACTTTTTTCTTTTTCAAACGAATAGAGTTTTGATTGCGCGTCGGACCAAACATCAAAAGAATTGCAACTTCGATTTTTTTTCGAGGAAAAACAAAAGAGAAAAGGTAAAAAAGAGAGAGCTTGATGGGTGATATCTTGCAACCACAAGCAATGTCAGATTCCATGGGAAGCGTATGAATGGAGCTCGGTGGGATGTCCCTTTCGCAAGTAAATGGCAAAAACAAAGCCATAAAGCCTCATCCCATCCTAAAGTCCTTCGACGACTTGACAAAAGGATGGCGATCCACCCGCGCACCTCCCCCTTACCTCAACAACAAACACTTTCCAAGACTTTTTAAATCATGGGTCGGAATTTTACGTCCTGGATAATGAAAAATATTTTTTTGATTAATAATTTTAAGTAATATAAATGATTATTTTTTTAAAAAAAATATTATTTTAATTATTTTATTATTTGTGAAATAAAAGGAACTTAAATTTATCCGGATAAGAAAGAGATCTAATTGGGAGATTTTTTATTAAACATAAGTAGGACGTCATTGCCCTTCTTTTGTTTTCTTTAGTTTTGGATATAGACGATTTCGTCAGCCTATCCGATGAGGCCACAAAATCAAAACCCATAGGAGCCGGCTCACCTAAGATTTTGACCATTATCCGAAACGGTATTTATCATTTTGAATAGTTGGTAAGCCGGATATTTCGCCAAGAAACAAAAAAATAAACAGTATAGTTTGCAAAATCTTTAGTGTAGTTTTTTTGAATTATGATACAGCTGACTCAATTTCAGGTTCTGAGATCCAATCAAAGTTGCAACCTGGGGATAACCTGAAGAAGACCCTCAAATCGTTTTCGCAAACCGTATTTCGTCGTACCCAAAATACCATACTTTAGCGCAACTGCAATTATACTGTAAATTGTGCTATAACCGTATTGTACTGTACTGAAGTACGTTTTTGGCAGCAAATCTTTTAAGGGTGTGACTTAGTATAGTTGTTGGCATATACACCTATTATTTTCACCATAGGTAGTACTAATATAATTCATTACAACAACAGCGACATTAAAAATAATAATTCCATTCTTATTATTATCTTTACTTCAGTAAAATTATAATGAAGACTATAACAACATCTATAAGTCCGTCCTTAACTTCAACGGGCGCTGTCCCTTTCGTGCCCCCACTTTCTCCTCCTTTGTTTGTTTCCGTTGCTTTTTCCTATACCGACTCAAAAGGACTAAAATGCCCCTGCTGACCCCTCCGATCAAAAAGTCCAAAAGTGCGGCGGGCGCTGCCACGAGATGCCGCAGCGACACCGCCGTGCAAAGGCCGACGGGTGTGGCAAAGACATGATCACGACTCGTCAATGCATTTCGAATCGTCAAGCCTAAAATTCAACCGAGCAAAAATCCAAATGCGAGATCTCAGCACTAGCAAAGCAACTAGTAACGCCCAATCTTTCATTCAATAGCACGTAGCAGATTTGAGCAGAAGCTATTACAAACTGTTTGTCACTCTTTGTCCCCCCTTTGCACGCAACCCAAAAAAAAGAACACCAGGAGGGCATCGGGAAGAGGTTAGTAGAAACCAAAGCCATACGGGATCTGCAAATATACGATCCTCTTCATAGGCATCGCAACCGGAAAAGGAGAAAAACCAAAGAAAGAAAGTAAGGTGGAGGGGGAAACTCTGTAAAAAGGCAAGAGTCTCTCCTTCCCCCACACCACAATCCCCAAAAAAACAACTCACACTTGCAAAGGCTTTTAGTCCTCTATTACTGAAGCCAATCCACTCACAATCTCTACGCCCACCTGCGAATTCCTGAGCTTCGCCGTTGCTATCGTCTTGCCTCTCGCCATCCCCTCGCCCTCCTCCTCCGCCGCCTCGGAGGAGCTCTCGATCGGCAGGGACAAGGTGCAGTCGAGCTCCGAGTTGTCGGTGGAGCGGCTCGGCCCGAGGCTCTCCTTGTAGGACCCCGACCCGACTCGAGATGGGTCCTTTCGTACGGGAAGGCGATGCGGGCTCTTCGAGGTGGTCGGGGACGTGGACCTCGCGTGAGGCGCGAACCACTTGGCCTCCATGTACTCGGCTTTCCTCCACGGAGCGATGTGCATTCCCCTGCTCTTCAAGCTCTGTTTCGCCGCCTCTGATACTATGGCGATGATTTTGCCAAGGCGTTCGGGCTTGCCGACAAAGATGTTGGGCAGGGCATGGATGACGGACTTATATGTCTTCGTCGGCCGAGCAATCTCGAATTCCGACCGGAAATCGATGTCAACTATGAGTCTCTCGCCTTTGATGATCACGTCTATGTACTCGTATTCGCCTGAACGTCACAAACGTGTATCTTGCTCTTAGGTTCGACAATACAAGGTGTGGAGACAAGTGGGCAAGAAACTGTTGTTAAAGTAACTGTAGATAGAGCAATTTATTCCAACCAAAGCAATCCAGGCAGATATTTCCCTGCTACAAAGCTCAATAATCAACGAACGAACCATACAAATTTCGCAACAGACATTGACTGACTGGAAAAAGTCTAGAGTCAAAAAGTGATCACTTGCTGCTAAAGACTAAAAATTCGTCCTCGACATCCTAACCCCGGTTCCTTACCAAACCATGAACGAAGCCAGCAACGGGTGCATGTAATTTTTCACCCAAGCGAGACCCAGGATTCAACCGCTACGTAAAAAAAATGAACCAATATTGAGATAAAATGGAACGGAATTGAGAAGCAGTACCAGCTGGGAAGGATGCAGATTTCTCCCAGCGAGACTTGCACACAGAGGCGTCGTAGCCCAGAGCCGACAATCCGTCCGACACGATCTTCAGGACGCTCTCGTCCTTGCGCTTGGACATTTTCTGCTTCTCCACAATCCTCGCAGCGTCCGCTAGCAAATTCCTCTCGCAAAGCGTCGCGCACATCACCAAGCTCTGCGTGCGCGATCTCTAAAAGTTAGCGGAGCACATACATACAGAAGACGATAAGACATAAACGCGATCGTCCGATGACCGATCATACCTTGAGTGTTTGACACGCTTCGCCATGGAACTCGCCCCAATGACCTCTGCCTCCTCCTCCTCCGCCAGGAAACTCAGACTCTCCTTCCTCTGAACTGTCGGTCCCGTTCCCGTTGAAGCAGTTGCAGCGGTGGCCTCCGCACCTCACCGCAGAGGACGACTGCTTCTCGTGACTCTCCTCTATGAAATTCTGGACCATCTTCGTCAGGCAGAGAGAGCTCGGCTCGAATTCAGCTGGCTCCGCAGTAAAGCCGTCCTTATCGACCGGCGGCGCACCGCCTTCGCCGCACACCTTCTCGATCGCCGCCGAGCTCTTCAGCACGCCGATGAACTGGCGCTCGAAGAGCCGCTTGAGCCGCGACTTCACGACCGGCTTCACTGGCTCGAACCTGATCGCCTCGTCTACGTGACAATCGATCGGCTGGATTTTCATTGAAAACGGCATGGGACTCCGTGACCAAAAGCACGACGGACCTGACTTCACCCGCCGATGATTCTTCCTCCTCACGCCGATCTAAGCACCGGTTGCGCCATTAGAACCTAACCTTCAAGCCGAGATCAGCACATCAACCGATCACAAATCCAAACCGAAACCCAGAGATTCTCCACCTAACAACCGATCCGAAACAGACGCGATCAACTCGCGATCACCCGCCGCGTCGCTTTCAGGCACCGACCGCCGAGGACGAAGGCGAGGAATAACTTGCGGACTCAACCAAGCGACCTCGACTCACTCACTCGCCGCCGCCGCCGCCGCCGCCGCCGTCGCCGTCGGACACGCTCATCGCCGACGCCGTCCGCCGTGAGCACGCGATCGCGTCCGGCCCGAACTCCGTCGCCGGCTGCCGCCGAGTTCTCTCTCCGGTCGACAGGGACTGGGTTTCACCGGCGCCGGGGCATTTTCCGGAGATGACGAGAAGCCCGTGAGCTCAGGGAGTGTTTTTGGCTGTGGCGAAAGGCAGCGAGGGCGGCAGGGAGGGAGGGAGTTGGGACGGGGGGCACCTGGGCGGTGCATTTATAAGCAGCGGCCGAGTTCGCGAGTGTGTGGGTGGGGGTGGGGGTGGGGGGGCCCACGCGGGCGTCCTACGTGGCGCGGGAGAGGATCGGGGGGTATGAGTCGGGACACGCGTCGCGCGGCGGAGGGAGCTCCGTTCTCGTGGCCCGGTTGCTATGGCGCCACGCGTCAGGCTTGGAGGGGGAACGGGTGGACCCCTCGTTGCGATTTTCTTTTGATTTTTTTTTTAAAAAATTTGGTCAGTCTTGGGTCGTGGGGCCCACCTGCGGGAGTTGCCCGTGACTCGGCGTCACAAGGAGGACTTTGGATCAACCGCTCGGCCCCTGCCCTCCCCTCGCGATCGTACGATTTTGACGGGAATACCCTTGGAGTTCAATAGAATTTACGAGCCCAACCTGCCTAAACGAATGACGCGGTATTCAGCGAGGCAAGCATTGAACTTTTCGTCCATGGACTTATTGCTTTCCTATTTGGGAAATTGGGCTAAGGTTGTTTGAATCGAACAGGAATTCCGCTTGTTTAGAAGAAAATGAGCTATTTAAAAAATATTTTTTTAGTAATAATTATTTGTATCACTTGAAATAATTAATCAATAACAAATATTCTCATTATCGATAATAATTTATGTTTAAACATTTCCGTAGATAACAAAAAAATATTTTTCATTCGTTCATTTTCTATAAGTGATACAAGAGATCATTTTTATGAAAAAGGTTTTCTAAATTATCTATTTTTACAAAACAAACGGAACCGGTGCGGTGCGTTTCTTGTAAGAAATATCCATGATTTGAAAAATATATTTCAAAAAGTGATCGCTCGTACGCTTATAAAAATGAATGAATGAAATTTTTTTTTTATCATTAATGAAACTGTTTACGCATAAATTATTGTTGATAATGAATTTTTTTTTTCATTTACTATTTTTGAAAGAAATATAACCAATCATTTTTCCCCCAAATTAGTCGGCTCTAAAGTTGAATGTACTGCTCGAAAAGAAAAGAGGGTCATGTTGAATGGTGCAAGTAATTTCCCAGTTGAACAGTTTCGTTTATGTTTTTACGCATGAATTCACTTGCTCACGGAATTCTTGACTATTTTTGCATATATATTTATTTTCTTCGATGAATAATTTGAATATTTGGATTTCATACTTCCATGATAATTTACACTGAAGACCGTGACTTTCATGGAGCCTTCGTCTCTCACGGAAAACTATGTCTTGAGTTCATTTATTTTTCCACTCATAAATTCACTTGCTCACGGAATTCACAATAATTTTACGGATGTATTGTTTTCTTCGCTGAATAGTTTGAATTTTCGGGTTAAGTTCTTCCATAATAATTTATGGTGAAGATGATGACTTTTGTGGTATCTCCATTTTTTCCGCGGAAAAGTATGCATCGAAATATTTGATTTTTTTTAATAAGTGTACTAAAAGTTCAGACCAATTCTAGAAGAAAATTAAAATGTACGGCCACAATTGTCGCTTCATGTAACTTACTGATTTCAAAGCTTGACTTCGGTTTCTTCAAAGGGATCGTCAGCTTGACGGCAACGAAAGGGACCTGCCAAGGGCATTATCGTCTTTTCGAGGATTGCCGCTTTTTTCTGCGGCTGCGATTTCCTTATCTTGATAAAAAGCATGACGTCAGAAAAAGTGGGAAACGCGTGATGCGGATTGATCTGATGGAGGGTACTTTTGAAAATGTACGAAACTTCTCGTATTTTGAAATTATCTTTTTAAATTAATATTACAAAAAAAATTTAAATTAGTACATATGTCATAAATGTACTAAAATTATTATTTTTATCATTAAAAACCTCAAATTAATATACCTGTGATAAATTTATCCCAAAATAATTTTTTGACCACAAAAATCCTAGACTGATACATTTGTAGTTAATTTATCCTCCGTTAAATTGAATTAATACCATAAAAAATCACAAACTGGTACACCTATGACAAATGGAGGATAAAATCCCAAACTGGTATATCCGTGAACTGTTACGTGTCATTCAACTGGGAAATTTGACGGTAAAACTAAACGGAAACTAGCAAAGGGTAAAATTGTTATAAGTGTACCGATTTGAGATCTTTCGTAATATTAACTCTACTTTTTTTTTAAGAAATAAAAGATGATATAGTTTCCAATGTTCATCGAGGTACATATGTAATTGACTTGCATTCCATCACGTTACGTGCATAATCGACTTATAAAACGTAGTCTAGTTCAATAACATAACTCGAGAGGGTGCAAGTACGAGTATGATTCAGCTGATCATGGACCGAGAGGGCTAGTGGAGGCCTTCGCCCCGTGCCCGTGTCGTATCGCACTTGGTGCACTTTTTGTATAATATAATTCTATATAATCTTTGACAATGCATGTGAAAATTCGAAAATTTCGTCCCGAAAATTTAGTATTGCAAATTTTTCTTAACTCGTCCTCTTAAAGTTAGGTTTTTGCTTAGACTAGAGATATGCTCGGAACATAACTTAAGATTATGGCTTTTGCTAAGCACATAACCAGTCAATTCAATTTATTGCACGAGAAAGAAAAGAGTGTTATGGGGAAGTACTTTCTGTGGGAGCGTCTGATACCAATACCTACCTACTACTAAAGAAACTACTCTGCTCGCCCTGCCTTCATTGCAAGCCCGGGTGCGGACGCGCACCATCAAGCCTAGCCTCGAGAGCCCACCCTTTCTCTTTGCAGGTTGCGATCCGAATACAGGTCGAGCTCGAATCTAGTCGCGGCCTTGAAGAGAGAGAGAGGGCAGAGATTATCACCATGCCAAGGGGATAAGAGTCGACAGGGAGATATGCAATGGCAAAATTATGAGAAAATGACACATTTAGTCCCTGAATTTTGGCCTAACGTGTATTGTGGTCCATGAACTTTTAATTTGTTCGATTAGATCCCTGAACTTTAACTCAATGTGTAATGTGGTTCATAAACTTTTAATTTGTTCAATATAATCCCTGAACTTTTAGTATATGTTTAATTTAGTTCCTGAGCTATATGAAAATGTTCAATGTAGTCATTCCATTAATTCAAGTCCAGGGACTATATTGAATATTTTCATGTAGTTCAGAAACTTTACTGAACATGTATAAAAAGTCCAAGGACCACATTGAACAAATTAAAAGTTCAAGGACCACATTGAATATTAAGCTAGAATTAAGAGACTACATTGATAAAATTAAAAATTCAAATATCACGTCATATATTGGGTCAAAATGCAGTTCAAAATTACGAAGTTAAAAGGTTATGGAAACGTATGAGACTTTAGAGAGCACTAAAGAGAGAGATCACAATCTTCTAGTTCTCTTTTTTCCTTTGCCCATCATATTTCATCTTGCCTTGTTCAAATCCATTCGTTGCTTTTAGGGAAAAGATTTCTCAACTCCAATGATGAAAAGTTAGGCAACGTTTGTCAAAAGAAAAAAACGTGATCTTCTTCTTTGACTAAGGGAATGGACAACGGCGTTATAGACGGTTAATAGATTTCTCTTTTCCAATGCCAATGACGTGGAAAGGTTAATATGTATACTTAATGTGAATAATCTCTTAGCAGTAAAGGAAATACAAAATCAAGTGGAGTGACGTTACAAGGATTGATGTATGTCTTTACTTAGTAGTATATGATGTGGGCAACTAGTGACTTGTGAGCAACGTGTTCTCATAGTTGGCATAGCCTCACTCTTGAATCCCACCAACGGCAAATCTTGAAAAGGGTAAACTTATAAGAAGCGTGCGCCTCTGTCGCGACCCTCCCAAAAGGCTTGTCAGGGAATGATAAATTTTAGAGGTAATGTCGAGTTGAGGATTAATGGCCGGCAACCGATGCGGATTCTCCCAAACCCTTGGCTTTGGAAAACTACAATTGAAATATATCCATTTATGAAGTTCAACTTAACCGGGAGCTGCTACTAGCCCATCCTAGAAACTAAGCAAGATATGGAAGCATACTTCACTTCCTATGCAATTAGAGATTTAGGATCGAGAACTTGATTATAGTAATTGTCTAACTAGTACCCTTCAGTACCCTAACTTGACCGATTTGTTACCTAAATAATTTAGGCAATCTTTGATAATTTTATTAACCTATGCCATTAAATGATGTCCATGTATGAGTGTGCAATTAGACAATTACAATCAATAAGATAAAAAGTAAGGTTTAAGAAAGTAAACCCAATGAAGCATCAAGCATAAAAATTCACATGACCTCGTTATTAACACCCACGACAGTGACCCCCGTGAGTTAAGTTTAAATCAAGTCCAATTTCATGCCTAAAAGATCAAGCTATCTAAACCTAAGCTACATGAAATGTAACCATAAGAACTCCTAAACTAAAGGTTATATTAACTAAATAAGACTAAGATTCATCTACATCCTAATCGAGACCTGCTTCTAAGTTATTTCTGATTTTTATATTTTTTGAACCATTTAATTTAGTTTTTTTCAAAAAATTCTGAAAATAGGGACTCAAGCTGGGCCCTTGGGCCCGGTCCGAACATGGGTCACGCTTATAAATAATGGTCTGGACCCAGATTGGGCTCTTATCTCAAGCCCATTCAAAATAAAATCCAGCCCAAACTAACCCAATTTATCGTCATCTTCTTCAAGTTGGCCATGAACGAGCAACCCCGACCGAGCTCCATCTCCGACCACTCTTGGCTTTCGCCAAATCGCAGCCATCATCTATGGCCACTGTCGTTCGTCCCCACCATCACCGGACCACTTCCGTCGGCCGTTGGTTCTCAATCGAAAATACTAGCTATACTAGATAAATGCAAAGATAGCTAAGTGAGCACCCAATCGAAAATAATTAATCTTATTACGCTTTGTCATATTTTGGGTTTCTCTCTGTTTTATTTTTTTGGGCCCCAAAAGAGTGTCTGGCGTGTCAAACTATAGATTACTCACATGAGACGGTTCAATTTAGGGTTGCAACATTTCCCG